ATCAGCTGCCTCCTGCACACTCCCTACTGGGGATGTGCCCGCAACCAAGGTACATGCCCTTGACCGGAATCGAACCTGGGACCCTTGAGTCCGCAGGCTGACGCTCTATCCACTGAGCCAAACCGGTTAGGGCAGGGCTAAAGATTTTTTTTAAATCACCTAATAAGTAAGAATGTCTTAAAGAGACACATCAACCAAATGCAATGTATGGGCCTTTTTTGGATTACGATTCAAATAAATCAAATGTAAGTGAACGTTTACTAAATTATGGGAAATTTGAATATTGATTGGCTGTTTTAAAAAGTTACAGAATTGTTCATTATTTTAGATGTAATATAGTTGGATTTTTTAATTGACTTTATTTTTTTCAAGCAGTTTAGAGTAAAATTGAAATAAAGGTATAGAGAGTTCCTATATACCACTTCCTATATACTATATGCCCCAACACATGCACAGCTTCCTCCATTATCAACGTCCTGCATTAGAGTGGTACATTTGTTATGATTGATGAACCTATATTAACACATCATTACCACCCAAAGCCCATAGTTTACATCTTGGTGGTGTACATTCCATGCATTTTGACAGCATTATAGTATCATACATGCTTTTTTTCTATTGATTTTTAGAGAGAAAGGAAGGGAGGGAGGAGGAGAGAGAGAGACATACATTGATGTGAGAGAGACACATCGATTGGTCACCTCCCACCGGTGCCTGAACTGGGGCCAGGGATCTATGCTCTAACCCAGGGGTGGGGTCCTCAAACTTTTTAAACAGGGGGCCAGTTCACTGTCCCTCAGACCGTTGGAGGGCGGGACCATAGTTTAAAAAAAAACTATGAACAAATTCCTATGCACAGTGCACATATCTTATTTTACAGTAAAAAAACAAAACGGGAACAAACACAATATTTGTATTTGCATGTGGCCCGCGGGCCGTAGTTTGAGGACCCCTGCTCTAATCACTGTGAAACACCAGCCAGGGCTATACATACCTATTTTTAAAAAGAGTCCTTAAAGATACATACTTTATTTGTGGATGTAATGAAATGATACTGGAATTTGCTTTAAAATAATTTGGGAGGAGTGTGAAAGTTCAGGTTTAAATGAAACAAGATTGACCATGTTCAATCTTGAGGTTCACCCCATAGCCCTTATTTCCTTCCCTGCTTTATTTTCCTACCTAGAACTAAATGTTTTCTTTTTCATTAGTAATTTGTTTATTGATTTTAAGCTGTTGATTTTAATCATTGAAGCTGAGTAGTGAGTACATGGTAGTTCATTATATTAGAATCTTTGTTTTTTATGTATATGTATATGTTTATTGATTTCAGAGTGGAAGTGAGAGGGAGAGAGATTGATGAGAGAGAATCATTGATTGGCTGCCTCCTGCACACCCCACATTGGGAATCGAGCACACAACCCGGGCATATGCCCTGATCGGGGATCAAACCATGACCTCCTGGTTCATAGGTTGACACAACCATTGAGCCACGCTGGCAGGGCAGAATCTTTGTTTTTTAACACGTTTGAAATTTTCTACCTTCAAAAGTAAAGCAAGAGTCAGGGTTAAGGCTGAAGTATGATATTTGGGGTCTAAGATAATGGAATACCAATGTTGGTGAAAGAATGTAAATTTCTGGAACTGACGTCTGTAAAGGTAATGGCATTTTCATTTTTCATTTATAGGGCCTGAAAGTCAGTATACTAAGACTGCTCAGGAGATTGTGAATGTCTGTTGCCAGACATTGACTGATGTAGGTGGTGAAGAGGAGATCCCCTTGGGATTTAGCTTTATGGAATCCCACTGTTCCCTTGGATGAGCAGACCTTCTTTGCCTATCCTATTTTAAAATGTAACATCATGCTCCCCCACCCTCTCCCCATAGCCCTTATTTCCTTCCCTGCTTTATTTTCCTACCTAGAACTAAATGTTTTCTTTTTCATTAGTAATTTGTTTATTGATTTTAAGCTAAAATCAAATTTTTGTATATTGAGTTAAATACAATATATTATTAAAACTAATTTTACCTATTTCTTTTTACTTTTTAAATGTGGCTACTAAATTTTTAAAAAATTACATTAGTGGCTAGCATTATATTTTTGATATATAGCAATACACACTTTAATTTGCATCTCTCTGATGATTAGTGACATTCATTTGTTTTTGCTTTTACTTCCCTTGCCTTTTGAGGTCAAATTCATAAAATGTTCTCTACAACCAAGGTCCATAAGTTTAGTACCTATATTTTCTTCTGTATAATTTATTATTTCAGGTCTTATATTTAGGTCTTTGATTCATTTTGAATTATTTTTTGTACACAGGGAATAAACTGTAATCTAGTTTCATTTTGTTTGCATGTGGCTCTCCAATTTTCCCAGCACCATTTTTTGAAGAGATTTTCTTTTCTCCATTGGAGGTTGCATTTTAATAACAAATAAATGAGTAAATAAATGCATAGAATAAATGTAATAAATAAATGTATTATTAAAAATAGCATAATTTGAGATAGTCGTAAATTATTATAAAGAAAAATAAAGTTTGGTAAAGGAAAAGAGAGCTACAGGGAAGGGAAGTTATTAAGAGGGTTCCTTTTTCTCCACAGCCTCTCCAGCACTTGTCGTTTGTTGATTTGTTGATGATAGCCATTCTGACAGGTGTGAGATGGTACCTAAATTTTTTTTTTTAACAAACTATATATAGGGTGTCCCAAAAAATATGTACATACACTTGGAGTAAATTATAAAGGCAGTGTTTATTAAAATACATTTCATTTTAAAAATTGAGCTATCAGCTATTAAAGTGTGTATACATTTTTTTGGGACACCCTGTGACTATTTACTTTGTCATGAGTCCTGCCTCTAGAATAGAAGCTCCATGAAGACAGAAATTTTTCTCTGCTTTGTTTACTTTTGTATCCCTAGTGTTTAAAACACATTTTGAATGAATTCATTACTTTTATTTCTCAGTATGATGAACATTTGACTCAACTTGAGAAGGATATTTGTACAGCTAAAGAAGCAGCTTTGGAAGAAGCAGAATTAGACAGTTTGGACCCAATGACCCCAGGGCCTTACACACCTCAGGTGAGTCTGAGGACTAGGAACCTCCTCTTTTTTTTTTAATCTTTATTGTTGAAAATATTACAGATGTCCCCTTTTTTTCTCCCCTTGGCGCCCTCCACCCTGCTTCCGCCCCCTCCCCAGGCCTTCACTACACTATTGTCTGTGGCCATGGGTTATGCATATATGCATATACATTTTTTTGTTTAATCTCTTCCCACCCGCACCCCCTTCCCTCTGAAATATGTCAGTCTATTGCATGCTTCAATGTCTCTGGTTCTGTTTTGTTTATCAGTTTATTTTGTTCATTAGATTCTACATATAAGTGAGATCATGTGATACTTGTAGGAACCTCTTATAGTTCTATTGGTTTGGGAAATTGGGAGTATGTTAACAGCTGTATTTACTGAGATATCCTTCTTCTCTGTCCTTCCTCTTCCTATGCCTTTCGTGTGCTTTCTTGTCTTCTCAAAGGCTAAGGTGAGTGAGGGCCATGGGTCTTGGTGGCCTTATTGAATTCAGAAGAGTCAGGTGTGGGATGAATGAGTGGGGTGGGTCTTAGGTTGTTTAAGCAGTATGAAGGAATACCAGATTCCTGACTACTATGGCCAGAGGCCTTCCTCTTGAGTCTCTGGAGCTCCCTTACCTATGAATTGGGGCTCTGGCACGTCCCTAGGGTATATACTTCTCAATTATAGACGCGAGCCACATTGTTCCTATGCCTTATATATGCCTGATTATTCATTCCCTCAGATGTATCTTAGTGTAGCTCAGATGTCACCCATTTTCCTGGATTGATTCCCACACTTTGTAAATGAGACAGGTAATATTTATCATCTTAAAGACTAGACTAGACAGTAGGATTAATAAGAAATTTTAGTGATTTTGTTCTTACCCTTGAATATAATGAGTATATTTCATCAATACTATGCTCTTAAGAGAGATGGCATATTTGAAGAGTAGAACTTACCCAGAATATAGCTTGCTTACTATATTGGATGCACTAAGGTAAAGTAGAAAGTACATGAAGTTTGGCATAAAATAGGCTGGGTTTGAATCTTAGCTCTGCTACTTTTTAGTTTTGTGAACTTGGGAAGTTAACTTAATCTCCTAACTCAGTTTCCTTTTCTCTAAAATGTACTTTTCCAGATTATTATAAATATGAAATAAATTAATTTTAGCCTGGCACATTAAGTAAACATTCAAGAAAATGTTTGTTTTCTTATCTGTACAAAAGTTGTCTACAAAGTTTTCAAAGGCCCTTTCAAATTTAACCAAATTTTTAAAAAAATAATTTTTATTGATTTCAGAGAGGAAGGGAAAGGGAGAAATAGATAGAAACATCAATGATGACAGAGAGTCATTGATTTGGCTACTTCCTGCACACCCCCCACTGGGGACCAAGCCTGTAACCCAGGCATGTGCCCTGACCAGGAATCGAACCGTTGACCTCCTGGTTCATAGGTCGATGTTCAACCACTGAGCCACGCTGGCCGGGCTAACCAAGTATTTTAATGCAAAATTTTCTCAATACCCATTGAAAAACTTTTTTTCATTCTACTCAGGTTTTGCTCTGTACTGATAATGCAACCTAAATGATTTCTGTTGGATTATTGCTGTCTATATCTCATTCATGCACTCGTCCTATCTATCTTTTACTCTCTCTTTCATTACAAAACATAGGTTACTGAGGGGCCATGTATAAAGACTCCTAAGATATTTCTTCCAGGCCCAGAACAAGAAAAGGTTTTTGAAGTGTGTTGGGCAGATTGGGTCAGGGGGGCTTGGGTGAGTGATGTTGCCCAGGAAGGCCTTATTTGCTAATAGGCCTACAGCTTCCACCAGGTGCTTTCTGGTAAGTTAAAGCCTGGGTTTTAGCCATCGTTCCCCAGGACATTCTAGCCACGAAGTGGCACATGGTTTGCCTAGTGTATGACAGCGTGGGCCCAGTTCTTTGGTGAGTCAGAGCCTTAGATCTGAAAGTCTTCTTCCTTCCTTCTCTACCCATCCCATGCTGTCTCAAATGGCTAAAGCAAACCTGGCAACTATTCTCCCTCCTGAGCAGTAGCTGTAGTTTGGTGCAGTTAGAGGGTCTTCTATGAAGAATAGGGTGTAGGTAGTTCCTCTTCATTATTCCAGTTCACCCTCTCATCATTGCCTTTACTCATATATACAAATTTTAAAATAATAAGCCCAGTTCATTACCTCTTAACCTGAGGAAGATGCACATGAGTGATTGTCCTTACTCATTACTACTCTCAAACCCAAATGTTATTAGAGTGTTGCATAAGTTTAACCTGTCATAATACAATTATGACTGTATAGAAACATAACAGTAACCATACTTTACTTCCAGCTCTAAATGATGATAGTCAATAATTTATTTTCACTCAGCCATTTCTGCCTAGCTTGTATTGCATCGTACATTCAGCTTAATACTTTATTTAAAACTGCTTACTTTGCAGTTTCCCATAGAGCCTTTCATTTCTTGATTTTCTCTTCTGTCCCATAATTAGTTTATCTGCTCTGTCATCCTTTAAATTCTGTTTGGCCTCCCTGTCTCCAAAACACTCTTCTCAGTCAGCCTTGCTTGTTAAAAAAAACCCCACAAAGTAACATGTTGGTTTTTTTAAAAATAAAATTAACATGTTCATTGGGAAAAAATTGGAAAATATAAAGAAGAAATAAGTTCCCTAAAATAAAGTTCACTACTCAGAATTAACCACTGTGCACATTTGGTGTGTGTTTATAGACAGACATTTTTTTAAACCCTCCCTTAGGCTATTTTTCCATTGATTTTTAGGGAGAGTGGAAGAGAGAGGGAAAGACAGAGAGAACATTGATGTGAGAGAAACACATTGATTGGTTGCCTCCTGCACATGCCCTGACCAGGGCCTGGGCCTGGAAGGAGCCTGCAACCGAGGTACCCTTAACTGGGGAACCCGGGACCCTTTGGTCCACAGGCTGACACTCTGTCCACTGAACCAAACCAGCTAGGGCTATAGACATCTTTAAAAAAAATGTTTTTATTGATTTTTGAGAGGAAGGGAGAGGGATAGAGAGATAGAAACATTGCTGAGAGAGAAACATCAATCATCCCCTATTGGGGATCCAGCCCATAAGCTGGGCATGTGCCCTGACCATGAATCGAACTGGTGACCTCTTGGTTCATGGATCGACACTCAACCACTGAGCAACACCAATCAGGCCTATAAACAACTTTTAAAATGAAATTGGTCAAGATGTTTTTGGGTCTTGTTGTTTTCACTTCACATTATATTACAAGTACTTTATTTTATTAACTAGTCTTTGAAAATAAGATTTTTTAAATAGCTGCATAATATTTTTATCCTCAGAGAACGCTTTACTATTTCTCCAGCCTATTTTTTATTGATTCTTCCTACCCTATTGTCACTGAATAAGTCTATTTGCTAAATCCTTGTTCTCTTCAGGATAGGGAAGAAGGTATCTATAATTTATCAAATACCAGGCATTGGGTAAGGAGTTTATACATCTCTTAAATCTCCCAACAACCATGTTTTACAATTGAGGAAACCAAGATTTAGAGAGATTAAGTAATTTGTTAAAGTTATTCAGCAAGTGATGGAGCCAGGACTCAAACCCAGGGCAGTTTACTTCGAAGTCTATGATTTTTCACCACACCATTTTGCCTCATAGCATCCTCTGATGAGCTCTTATTGGTATTGAAATTTCTTAATCCCATTTCCTATTAGGTATCGCTAAACCAATCAAAATAGCACTGGTATGAAGTTCTGGGCCTAAAAAACAATAAGGCAAGGCTTAGAAGAAGCTAGGTTGTTGACCAGAAAGCTGTGAGGACATAAATTGTCCCATAACTTTGATACTTTCTGCTTCAGGAATCTAATGAGCATACACATTAGATGCCTCTCTACTAGAAGGAGCAACATTTGTAAGATTCCCCAAAACCTGTCCATAAAGTTGTTCCAAGCTGTGTTTTCTCAATAAATGGATTGGTCTGCATGACCTTTTTCTTCAGTGAGTGCTCTAAAGAGGCATCTCTGTAGTTCTTACTCCCTTTTCTAAATAGAAGCTAAATTATATGATTTGTGCCACAGCCACCTGATTTATATGATACCAACACATCCCTCAGTATGTCTCGAGATGCCTCTGTATTTCAAGATGAGAGCAATATGTCTGTCCTGGATATTCCCACTACCACTCCAGAAAAGCAGGTGACACAGGTAGGATATTCTTTTTCTCTTTGTGAGATTGGTAGTATACTTCAGAGTGGGGGAGTGGTGGTGGTGGTATATGACATGTGTCAAGGATAATTGAGCTCCTTGGCTCTGGGAATACAGGTTAAGAATGTGACTTCAAGGTGGGAAGGTGGCAGGTCGCATGATGCTCCAGGGCTGAGGTAGGCTGGGTGAGGAAGACTCTGATGTAGATATTGAAGGGTATAATGATGATGAAGAGGAGGATGGGAAACCTAAGACTCCAGCCCCAGTGAGTATGCTTACAGAAAGCTATGGTTACATTATATCTTTATATCAGTGGTTCTCAACCTTCTGGCCCTTTAAATACAGTTCCTCATGTTGTGACCCAACCATAAAATTATTTTCGTTGCTACTTCATAACTGTAATGTTGCTACTGTTATGAATCGTAATGTAAATATCTGATATGCAGGATGGTCTTAGGCGACCCCTGTGAAAGGGTCGTTCGACTGCCAAAGGGATCGCGACCCACAGGTTGAGAACCGCTGCTTTATATGATATAGGAGCCCCACCAGTACAGGGCAGGCCAAATCCCAAGGCAATATCAGAGAGTCTCCATAGTGAGTCCTAGTCTGACTTTAATCCTTCAAACCAGATAAACAAGTCTATCCACCAAAATTACTCTCTACTGCCTGTCCCCATGGGCAAAGTCAGGCACAGCAGAACTTCAGGGAAGGCACAAGTGTGAAAAGTATATGATACATCAGAGCAACCTGACAGGTGACTAAAAAGAACAGCTGTATTCAGAGACAGAGTTCAAAATAATTGCTCTGCTACTCTACTGTATGTATGCTATAATCTAAATTAAAATTATGTATGAAATTAGATTAAATTTTTTAAATTGGCTGTTTCTAGTGGTATCAGAAGATACTTCTTTATTTTTATTAATTTTTAAAAATCTTAACCTGAGGATATTTTTTTTCATTGAGCTTTAGGGAGGGAGGAGGGTGAGAGAAAAAAGAAATCAACGTGAGAGACACATGAATTGGTTGCCTCCCGCTTAACCGAGGTCGGGGATAGAACCTGCAACTGAGGTACTTGCCCTTGACCAAGAATCAAACCAGAGACCCTTCTGTCCGTGGGCCAATACCCTAACCACTCTGGCCAGGGCAGAAGATACTTCTGATCTGAAGCCAGAAATCCTATCAGCTTATCTCAGTCAGGGTTCTACTGGAGAGTGCAAAACACAAAAGGATTTTTTTCTATCTCAAAATGTTCAACTCAAGCTAAGGAAAGTTTGGATTAGAATGGAAGAGGCTCCTTTTGATGATATAGTAAGAGTAGACCAAGGACCTTCCTGTTCTTTGGGTTTTTTACCCTTACTGTGATTTCCAAAGAATGAATGGGGGAAAATGCATATGTCTTGAGCTGTGTTAACAGCCCCCACTAGCTGTGGGGTTGGCTAGGATATCAGGGAGGACCATCCATCCAGAGTGAGAGCCCTCATTAACTCCTCCTACAGGCACGTCCCTCAATGATGTGCTATTTGTGTTCCTTACTCAGATGCGCCAGGGCCGAGGTAGGCTGGGCGAGGAAGACTCTGATGTAGATATTGAAGGGTATGATGATGATGAGGAGGAGGATGGGAAACCTAAGACTCCAGCCCCAGTGAGTATGCTTATAGAAAGCTATGGTTGCATTATACCTTTATATGCTAGGAGCCCAACCAGAGGGCAGGCCAAATCCCAAGGCGATATCAGAGAGTCTCCATAGTGAGTCCCAGTCTGACTTTAATCCTTGGAACCAGCTAAACAAGTCTAGCTACTAAAATTACTTGATTTCTTGTGAGGCAGCTAGGGGGGCTGGTGGCATCTGGTCTCTTACTTGAGTGATTGATTGGATTTTGACCCCCAACTGGTCCTATTCAGGAAGGTGAAGATGCAGATGGTGATCTTGCAGATGAAGAGGAAGGAACCGTGTAACAGCCTCAAGCCAGTGTCCTGTATGAGGATTTGCTTATGTCTGAAGGAGAAGATGATGAGGAAGATGCTGGCAGTGATGAAGAAGGAGATAATCCTTTCTCTGGTAAGTCTTGCTCCTTTGCTTCTGTAACTGGGTAGCTCACCATAGCACCCTCAGGACTGGATAGGAAGCTCTTGGCCACATATGCTCTTTTAATGAAGTTCTACTAATACTAGTAGACCTCAGAGTACAGAGCACTCAGTGGTAGGCTGATCAAATTCATTAGCCTTAGAGGAAGTGAGGAAATAAAACACAGGAGATACAAAAGTTGACAGTGCCTAAGTAGCACCTTTTATTTGAATACTTGATAAAAACAGAAAATAAGTGTTATATGTAGCAATAGGGAAGTAAAATTAAGAAAAAAGATCCTGTTTTGAGATGTTTTGTGGGTCAGTGGCAATGGCAAGAGAAAAGTATAGGAGAAAAAGATAGGAGAAAAACAGATAGATTGAACTGAGATGGAAAAGAAAAAACGGTTATTTGGATTCAGTTTCTAAACTACAGATCTTGCCATTGTTGACCCTAAGTGAGGTGAGAAGTCCAGGCAAGATACCTATATAGATGTGTGGGGTAACTAGTTTTGGAAGACCAAGCCAAAGATGTTAATTCTGTCAAGCTTACCTCAGAATCTCTTTTCACAGCTATCCAACTGAGTGAAAGTGGAAGTGACTCTGATGTGGGATCCGGTGGGATGATACCCAAACAGCCCCGCATGCTTCAGGAGAACATAAGGATGGGCATGGAAAATGAAGAAAGCATGATGTCCTATGAGGGAGATGGTGGGGCGGCTTCTCATGGTTTGGAGGATAGCAACATCAGGTAATCGACAGCAACATGCTACAGGGCTGTGGCATCAGTGCCCAGCTATGATGTCAAAGGGCCCAGCATCAGATTACTTTCATCCATCAAACATTTCCTGAGCGCCTAACAAGGGCCAGGCACTGTGGTAGGCCCTTGGGAATACACAGAGGAACAAGATTTATCCTGCCCTTGAGGAGCTCACAGTCTAGTGGAAGAGACTGATACAAACAAAATCATTACAAATACAATGTGATAAGTGCTACAGCATAATTTAAGTACGAAGTGTCAAATCACCAGTGAGGAGGAGGTGTTTCACCCTGCTTGGGAGTAAACAGGGAAAGTTTCACAGACAGGGAACATTTGAACTGGGCCTTACAAGATGAATAATAATCTACTAAGTAGATAAGTCGCAGCAGGTGAGGAGATCCTTAGTGATGTAACAATATGTTCAAAGGCACAGAAATGTAACAAAGAATGTTCCAGAGTGAAGGGAGGTTGTTGTGCGATATGGCTCTAAAGGTAGCAACGCTTTATATTGCAGAAGACCTTAAATGGCATGCTAAAACATTTGGATTTGAGGTAATGAGAATCATTTATAGAAAAGGAAGTAACATCAAATTTGTGTATTAAATAACTATGAAAACGATAAGGATCTCAACTGGGATCTGTTAGGGAAGAGAAAGGGACATATTCAAGAGCTATTTAGAGGGTAGATGGACTGGATTTAGGAGATCAGGTAAAAAAATGAATGGGAATGTCAATGAGATGGGAAAGGGGAAGAACAGGCATAAGGTGGGGTGGGAAAGGAGGAAAAAATGAATTTGTGTTTGGACATGTTGGATTTAAGGTACGTACATATGATACATCTAGCCAGAGGTAGCCAGGAAGCAGTTAGTCTTAATTTATTCATTTAGCAAATATTTATCACAAGTACAAAAGTCACTATGATATGGTCCCTTCCTCTGTGGAGTTCATGGGGAACCTAAAACAGGTCAACAGATGACTGACCGGTCACAGTGTAACATGAAAAGTGCTGTGATAGGCAACCACAGGATTTTTCTGGGGCTTGGATAGGAGTGGGATAGGGGAGCTGGTTAGAGAAGGAAACAGCTGAATCAGAAATAAAAATTTTGAAAGTATGCATCCATTTTGGCCCCAAAATTTCATGTCTAGGAAATGCTACGGGAATAATAAAACACCTTCATCAGAATGTTTGTACAAGGATGTTTATCACAGCATTGTTTCTAATAGTGGGAAAATTAGAGACAGCTTAAATGTCTTAGTGAGAGACTGTTAAATAAATTATGTCACAGCCATACAGTGGAATACCTTGCATCTATAAAAATGATTCTGTAGATGTATGTTTATAAAGATGTTCATTATAATCATTAGTGAAAAAAGCAGATTCCTAAAGAGTATATAGAGTATTCTAATTTTGTAAATAAAAAATGTTTAAACATTTAAGTGAAGTGCATAGAAAAAAAATTGGAAGATCGTATATACCAAAATATTACCTCTGGGTAGTGGAGTTATTGGTGATTTTTTCTTCTTTTTTTCTGGTTGTATAATCTGATTTTTTTAAACCAATGAACATGCATTATTTATGTGATTTTTTAAAGTAAAATTAAGAATAAACAAACAAACAAAAAATAAAGCACACTCTGGCAGAAGTGTGATTAATTGAAGGAGAGTAAGACTAGAGGCATGAAGACTGATTTCAGTGGTGATGGCCAGAGATAACAAAGGATTAAGGCAAGGCATGCATAGTAGGGATGGGAAGAAGGGGATAAAGACAAGATATATTGAAGAGGTAGAATCTTTAGGACTGTTGATTAATTGGAAATGTAGATGAGTAAAGCAATAAGTGGTAGATGAAACTATGAGGCTATCAGAGCATTTATGGTCACATAAGCTGGCAGTGTGTTGTTCGAGCATAAGAGAGTTTCTTTCATTCAGCTTCTTGTGTATATGCAGTTGGCAAGTTGACGTTTTTGAACAGGATCACTTTTCTCTTAGGGACCTGTAGAACAGTCCAGAACTAGTCACTTTAGTGTCCAGGGGAGGTGAGATGGGCTGATCCCTTGGTAGCACCAAAAACGGGACTGGTCAGCTAGAGGATGATGCCCGAGCTTGAGAGATGACATGTTTCTCTTCTCAGTTATGGGAGCTATGAGGAGCCTGATCCCAAGTCGAACACCCAAGACACAAGCTTCAGCAGCATCGGTAGGCATGAGGTATCAGAGGAGGAAGAAGATGAGGAGGAAGAGCAGCGCTCTGGGCCGAGCGTGCTATGCCAGGTCCACCTGTCAGAGGACGAGGAGGACAGTGAGGATTTCCACTCCATTGCTGGGGACAGTGACTTGGACTCTGATGAATGAGGCTTCCTTTGGGCCTCCTTGGTCAGCCTTCCCTGTTCTCCAGTCTAGATGATTTAATTTGTTTATATTTGTACAGTGTCTGATCCTGAAATCACCAGATTAATTAACACCTTAGCCTTTAAAAAATAGTAAGTAAATAATAATGAACTAATCGCCTCTCCTGATCTTCCTGGGGCAATGTCACCCTTTGAATTAAAATCAAGCAACTCCCTTCCCCCTTACACTGATAAAAATAGAGCAATCTCCTCCTCCTTCAGTGCTTGCCTTTAACTTCATTTATTGCTCTTTGTATCATTTTTCTCTGGGGAAGGAGGAGAAATTATGAAAGAACTAATAGCTCTATGTTCTCATGGTATATTAGAAATTTTCCAAGCATGGTATCATTTCAGTTTTCTAGCAGGCTGGAACAGGTGACAGCCCCCCTGCTGGGACAGGGAATTGGGTTTTTTCTGGTGGTCTCTATGCCACACTGAACACATAAACCTATTGAACAAACTGCCCATTATTTTATTATTTATTTGATTATGCAATGCCTTGTTCCTAAATGGGTTTGAGGCAAATGATTACAAATCTTTGAAACAGCCTGTTTGTCAGAAGTGATATGTTGCCATGTAAATGTGTTCTGTCCCCCACCCCCACGAGAAATGATAGGAAAATGGTAAGTTCCTTGGGGCAAAGACTGTGTCTTCTGATTCTTTTCATGCTTAGGATATGGTTCTGTGCATAGTAGGTACTCAGTAAATGTTCCTAGAATCATAAAATTCTCAACAGATTTGTTATTAAACATCTGCTTTATCATAAGCACTCTATCAGATCCTTGGGATGCAAAGCTAAATAAGACACATTCCTTTTACCCAAAGAGCTTACCATCAAGTTGGGGGAAGGGGAGTGAAATTCAAAACATGTTAATAAAGCATTACAGTTCTGTGAGAGAAGTGCAATTAAAGAGCTAGATATAAAGTATAGGAGAAAATAGGAGTGATCATGTCTGAAAAAGTCAGGGAAGTCTTCCTTGAGGTCATTTATAAGCTGATTGTTGAAGAATTAGTAGGAGCTTGCTAGATGGGAAAGTCCAGGCAGAATGTAACATGAAGTGAAAAGGCTGAAGTCTAGAAATGGCAGAGTGTGTTCCTAGTTTGTTTGTTTGTTTGTTTGTTTGTTTGTACCTGCATTGTTCCAGAAAGGATTTAAGGTGGTTTAGTTCCAGTCCTTTAATGCTGGATTGGCTAGAGAGGAAACTGAAAGATGGGCAGTAAGCATATTGGGAGCTTTGATTTTGATGCTAATTAATATGAATTTTATAGGAATTGAGGAGCTCTAGTGGAGTGATATAATCAGGTTTGTGTTTTAGAAATTTTCTGTATATTGAATGAAGAAAGAAATTGAAGAATCATGTAACAAGTGTGATCCCATTTTTGTAAAAGACAAAATCATGTGTGTCGTATTTATATGTGTTTATATATACTTGTGTGTGCAAAGGAAAGGGTCTAAAAGGATATTTGCTAAAATTGTTCACAGTGATAACCTCTGGGGAATGAGCTTGGAGGTGAGGGGGCTTATATGGTTGTATGTATGCTGGGTGGGGTACTGTGCTTTTATTTCTGTATTGTTTGAGTTTTTTACAAGTATGTATTATTTTTGTAATAAAAATGTTTTTAAAAAATGAAGCGGTAGTGTGGAGAGTGGTTTGGAGGGGAGCAAATCTAGTTCAAGTAAGGAGTAATGGGGCCCAAACTAAGGCTTTGGCATTAAGATGGTAAGATCAGGATGAATTCGAGAGATCTTTAAGGGGTAGAATCAATAGAATTTGATAACCAATTAAATTAGCATTTGGGGGTGGAAGAAGACAGGGAATGTAAGGTGGCTTTTAGAATTTTGGTTTGGGAGAGTGAGTAGGTTCAGGGTATTCATACATTCATTAAACATTTATCAACCTACCTATTTTTATCAAGCAGTCTGCTAGATGCTGATACAGAAATAAAATATAGTTTCTAATTGCAGAGAACTTAGATTTAGAATAAGAGGTAGATATGTAAATAAGTTGAATAAAAAGTGATCATTGCGATACATATTTACAAGGTTCTGTGGTGAGAGGAAGGAGTTACCAACTGCTTACGGAGTAAGAATGGGAAGTCTTCAAAAGGAAACCCTAGTGATGGATTATGAAGAATAGGAAGGAGGGAAGGGAAGAGGGCATTCTAGGCAGAGGGAACAGGACTTAGGGGCATGAAACTACATGGCCTATTCATGGGACAAGTAGTTTTGGATGGGTGGAATACAGAGAACATATGTAGCATAGTGATTACAAGGCTCAGGATCAAATCCTCATTTTAGAGAGATCACTCTGGCAGCAGTGTGAAAATGGGTGGACTGGGGAATGATGCTGGAGGAGATATAACAGAAACTTAAAAATGGCTGAGGCATTGGCAGTAGGGGGAATGAGAAGTGCATCTTGGTGACCGATTGGATAATGGAAAGTAAACAGAATCTAAGTTTCTGACTTAGGTGACTAGGTAAATAGTGGTGCCATTCTCTGAACAGGGTGAGGGTGGAAGGTAGGAGAAATAGCTAAGCCTGATTGGAAGCATGCAAGTTTAAAGTATCCTATGTAAGTATCCTATAAAAGGCCAATATGCAAGTTGACCGAACAGTGGACCGACCAGTCGCTATGATGCACACTGACCACCAGGGGGCAGACGCTCAACACAGGAGCTGCCCCCTGGTGGTCAGTGCGCTCCCACAGGGGGAGCACCACACAGCCAGAAGCCCTGAGCCGGCTCATGGCTGGTGAGCACAGCAGCGATGGTGGGAGCCTCTCCCGCCTCCACTGCAGGCGGGTGGTAAGAAGCGAGGGGTCCCTGACTGTGAAAGCCCCGGACTGCGAGAGCGATGTCTGACGGCCAGCTTAGGCCTGATCCCCCGGACATCTCCCAAGGGCTCCTGGACTGCAAGAGGGCACACACCAGGCTGAGGGATCCCTCCCCGCCCCCCAGTGCATGAATCTGGTGCACTGAGCTTCTAGTGATAGGTATAAAATTTAGGGTTTGTGCAACCTTGGGAGTAGGTGAGATCACCCAGGATGCATGTGTAGAGTCAGAAGAGCATGGAGGACAGAATCCAGTAGAAGAAGAATATTTATGGGTGGTGAGAAATGGAAGGAAAACCTGAAGAGTGCTATCTCTCAACCCAAGGAAGGAGTTTTAAAGCATAAAAAAGACAACGTATATTCCACAGAGAGGTGAAGTACAATGAATCCCAAGAGACAGCCTTTGGGTTTTGGTAACTAGGAAGTCCCTGATGACCTTAGTTAGCAAAAGCAGCTGTAGAGTCGTAGTGAGATTGGAATCAACCAGAACAGGGTGAGGAACAGGTGGAAGATGAAGAAATGACAATAGAGATCATACTCTACTCTTTCAAGAAGCTAGGCTGTGAGGAATAAAAGAGGGAGAATCTTAAGATGGAAGATAAATAAGCCTGCTTACATCAGCTTAGGATTGAATGCAATAGAGGAGAGGTTAGAAAAGAGCAAGGGAGGACAATTGTGGGAAAGACCTTTGTGAAAACAGGAGGGCATGTTAGTTACCATTCCCTCCTGTAGGAGAAGAGAACTTGCCCTGATAGAGAGGAAAGGATGGAAGTAGTTATAGATCAGTGTGTAGATAAGGGAGATAGGAAGTCGAAGAAGTGCATAGTTCATAGCTTCAGTTTCCTGTGTGAAATAGGTAAGATCATCCTTGTGAGAAAAGTGAAAATGGGGTGGCAGCTTGAATACTGAGGGAGATAAAGAAAAACTGGAAACCAGCTAAATGTCCCTCAGTAACAGAGATGTTGAATTATGATACATCCATTCAGTAAAAAAAAAAAAATGCAACTATTATAAATCACGAGGAAAGTCTATATGAGCTAAAAGGGGGAGATATTTTTTATTATTATATAGTTCCTGGAGTACAATGTGATCACTCTCAAAAGTAGTTACTATCCATCTCCATTCAATTGACCTCCTTCACCCCTTTGGCCTAACTCCCTTCCCCTTCGGTAACCACCAATCTGATCTTTGTATCTGTGAGTTTATTTTTGTTTTGTTTTGTTCACTTTTTTAGATTCCTCATATAAGTGAAATCATATATTATTTCTTTCTCTTTTTGACTTAATTCACTTAGCATTGTATCCTCAAAGATATTCTTGAAAAAATAAGTGATAGAATGGTAGGCAGCATTTAATTTCATTTCTTTGGGGGACAAAGATATAAATCCATGTTTGCATATTCACAGAAAAGATTTGCCAAGATGCAGTTCAAACTGTTAACACCTGTGAGGTAGAGTAGGTGGAGGGCTTGTTCTTTTCACTATAAACCCTTATATTAATGTTTAAGTTTCTTTTTTTAAATGGTCACTGAGGGAAATGGGAACTGGAGTTGATTAAGGATCTGTAAAAGGATTGTTGGGTGTTGAATGCACCGATGAGGTTAGAGACCATTAATTTAAAATGGTACCAATGTACTTTAGTACATGATTTTCTCCAGAGGTACTTAGCAACACAGTTGTCAAAGTGTAGAAACAGAAAAAGGTAATGCAGTTTGGGGTGAAGACCCGGATAAAAGAGACAGATTTGTGAATTTCCTTTCAATAACCATTTCTTTAAAAAAAAATAATAATTCTTGCCGTGGCCGGTTTGGCTCAGTGGATAGAGCGTCGGCCTGCGGACTGAAAGGTCCCGGGTTCGATTACGGTCAAGGGCATGTACCTTGGTTGTGGGCACATCCCCAGTGGGGAGTGTGCAGGAGGCGGCTGATCGATGTTTCTCTCATCGATGTTTTTCTCTATCTCTCTCCCTTCCTCTCTGTAAAAAATCAATAAAATATATTTAAAAAATAATTCTTTATTGTTGAAAGTATTACATATGTCCCCCTTTTTCCCCCCTTGACCTCCAGCCCACCCCCACACCCGCCCCAGGCTCTCACCGCCCCATTGTCTGTGTCCATAGGCCATGCATATATGCATAAAAGGTCCTTTTACAAGTCCTTTGGTTGATCTCTTACTCCCCTTCCCATCCATCCTCCCCTGCCTTCCCTCTGAGGAGGTGGTCTGTTCGATTCTTCTGTCTCAAGATCTATTTTTGTT